GGAGTATCACAGTAAGGATATTCCTGCTGCTCTTCTACTTGTGACTCTATTTTACAGAGAATCTCAGATTTTAAAATGTACACAGAATGATAGGTCTAATAAACAGGAAGAGATGTATATTTCTGTCATTCTGCTGTTTCCAGCTGCAGAGTTTCCAATTAAAATTCCTTCTTCACATAAGTAATATATCCAGCATAGATAACAACTTCTACCACAAAGTCCTTAATACCATTAATTATTTGATCTTTCTGAGGACATTATAAAAGGGATAAAAAAAGAAAGGCAGAATTCTGTAGGTGTTAGGTGGCACAGCAGGGAACTCCACTGATCTCAGCATATGAGAGACTGCAAGGGAATTAAAGAATTGCAATAAAGTGTGCAGAGAAAATGACACTTAAGTGCAAACTCACTGCTTCTGATTTTTACTTTTGTTCTGTTATTTTATTGTCTGGCTTAAAATTGCAAGATACATTCTTGCACAAAGTGGGAGATGAAGGAGTTGACTCCTGCCTGCTAATTTCACATCCTGATTGCTGTCGATGCTGTTAAAGTCAATGGTGTCCAGAAAATCCAGAAGTAGCTTTGTATTAAAATGATTGCATTTACATTTTTTTTCAAAATCGTTCATCCCTGAGCCTCAAAAGAGATCTGGGAGATTTGAGAACAGCTGGGGAATGTGCAGAAAGCACTGGGCCCTGGGGTAATTGCTGTGGTTATGCAAACTACCTTTGTCTGGAAACCACACTGGACATCTTTTAAAGACCTTCTGCATTGTCATCCTTTGTTCCAGCTGGGAGGGATATTCCCAAAACAGTCCCTTTCATGGTTATTTCGAAAATCTGCTTGTAAATTTTAGAGTCTGAGAGTCAGCCAGGGAGCTGAGCCACCAGGTTTTTTATATGTAAAAAAAGTAGAAGTGAGCTCCTGCTCTGAGCTGTAGTTGTACATGCCCAGAGCTGTGTTCCTCTGACCTGACAGTGATGCTGTGAGAGTTATTAAGATTTTACACCATTCCTGAAGGCTGCAGGACAGGATGCAGCTCCTGGTCCATCCTGGGTGGTGGGCACATCACCAGGGAGAGGGGATTTCACAGGGCTCAGGCATTCCCATGAACTTCTCCAGCCCCTTCCCCACAGAAGGGCACAGAATTCCTGGAGACTCATTCTGCTGGAGAATGTCAGGGCCCCTCCTGGATGTGCCTCTCTAGCTGGAGGAACATTCTCAGTGGTTCTGTGCCTATGGCAGACAGCTCAGAGCTCTGTGAGCAAGGAGCTTTGGGGCTTTTCTGCATGTGCTTTTCCTTGTTTTGCTGAAAGTACCATGGATAAATAAACAGCCTGAGCAGTGCTGTAGTGAAGGATCAGTGGGTTAATTGGGAAGATGAGGGAATGTGATTGTCCCCTCTCCTGCTGAGCACCTACTGCCAAATTCATTCATCCAGGTTGTTCCTGGAGGAGGCTCCTTCTGGAATGTCCAGAAAGGAGAAAGCAAATCAGACAAATTGAGTTTATTGCTGATCAGCTGCCAGGATTTATCTTCAAGTTCTAGGAAGCAACTAAAATGTCAACCCAGGGAGTCATTGTTCTTCCACATCTCCACCAGCACCAAGGTATATTTATTTTAAGACATAGCAATGAAGGGGAAAGAATTTATTGCTAAACAAAATTCCTAAGTCAACTGGAGGACTTGCCACCCACTGGCAAAACAATTTGGTCATTTCATTTTGCTTTTTTTATGTTCTGCTTGTCAGTTTCTTTTCTTTCCAGGCATAACATGTTCACTTTTAGTCAAACATGCTTTCTTACAAAAATCAAGCAAACAAACAAACAAAAAGAACCCCAACCAAACCAAAAACCAACCAAACAAGTCATCTGTAGGAAAAGAAAGTTATTCTCTTCTCCTTGTTTGACATCTGTTCTGAATAGTTCTGACCAACCTTTGCAACTTACTTTGCACTTAACTACCAGTTAATATCCCAAATACCTTGCATCTCTTTTGCTGTCTCTCATTACTTCTGAACTCAAATTGATAACCATAGTGGTTATCAATTCCAACCAGGAATCAAGAAACCAGGTGGTTTCTTACACTCAGAAAAGCTTCACTGATGGACACTTTATTCTCTCCATCTCTCCCCCCTCTCGCTTTTTCTTCCCCCTTCTCTTTGGAGTACATCCTTCCTTTTTTTACTTGGTTATGCTCTGCTTTTGGCTTATTAGAATTTTCTGCAGCAGACAGGATGGCAGTGAGTGTCTCAGGAGGACGGAAGGGATCTGAAGCTGTTCCCAACAAGTGCAGCTTCTCTTTTTTAGTTCCTTCCTAAAGCAGGTGCCTTCCCTCTTTTGCATATCTGTAAAGTGCAGGGCTGTTGGGCTCAGCAATCAATTCTTTGCTCCAGCTTGGGCAGAGAAGGACTGCAGCAGGTTCACAGGAAGGAACAGCCTGTATCAGTACAGATTTTAGAGCACTGTACTATAGAACTGTAAAAGTCTCTGGAGTTCCAAATAAATGACTACAGATGTGACACCTCTGAGTAGGATTTGTCTCAAAGAAAGAGCTGGAAATGGAGCACCACATAGTTATTTTCTCTTTTGAAAGGTTAAAGCAAAAGGATTAAGGATGCTGCTTATGCTGGGATATTTTTAATTTTGCAGGAGAATGACAGCAGACAGGTGAATTTATTTTCCAGTATTTGAAAACAGGGAGGGGCGCTGAGGGGGAAAAGAAGGCTATCACATCAAAAAATGGAACTTTTGCACATCTTGTAGTCACTCTTACTTTGGTAAAGCTCTACACACCCAAGCTCTACACACCAATTAACCCAGGTAAACTGAGCTACAGGATCATTTTCCCAAAATAACTTTTCCCTTTTTTCCCTGCAGAGAACAAGGAAGTGGTTTAACTTGGACACATGTGTTAACACCTCTGGCACACCCAACCAAGCAGGAGTGCAGGGTTTGTTCACTTCCAAATGTGTGTTAATTATTGGCTTCAAACACACGTGATTTTCCACTGCAGCACGCTGGCACATGTGGCACAGGGTGTCATCAGGGACTTTAGGCCTATTTGAGTTGTCAGAATTCTTAAGAGCTTATACCTGAAATTTGTCTTCAGTAAACACATATGCTTCCTTTCATTTTAAAAAGGGCACAAGGAAGAACTAGACTATTTATTTAGCTCCAGGGTGCCATCAGTTTTGATGTGACTGTTTCCAACTGGAATAGATAAAACCTCAGGTTTTCTGTGGAAAAAAAAGTTGGGAATCCTTTTTGTTCTGCAAAGTGACCATATTTATTCTGTTTTATGAAGGAGTTAATTTTCAGATTGACCTTCACATATTGCATAATCTAAATTTATGAAAAATGCTGAAATGTTTACATCATCTGCAACATAAATTATAGGAAGAACCTCTCTAGGCCAAGTAAACGTGATTGGTAGGTGATTCTGCTGTGGAAGGGATAGAAAATGATAGAATCACAGAATGTTTGTGTGGGAAGGGACCTGATCTTCAGGAGAAGCCTATTGTCATATGAGCACTCCCAGTGTTTTCCTTCCTTCCATGCAATGACATTTAGCATTGCACGTGTCTATTTTAGAGCATAAAATATCAGGAGGCTTTCTTTTGTTCATGATGCATCAGGAAAATGAACCTCAACTCCTTCTTCCAAACAAGAAGTGCAGCTTTATTTTTAAATTGTCATTGGATTCCACAGCAACACACACACACACACACACACACATTACTCTTCTCTGTTCCTCTGAATCACTTTTTTTAAACAAAACACAAACAGCAAACTAGTGCAAGTCAACATGCACTCTGTTAGTATAATCCCTAATATTGAACTATTATTTTATTCCACAGAATAAAACAGTTAAAAGTTACAGATTATTTATGTATATAAAGAAATCAGAATTTTCTGTATATTTGACATGCCATGAATCATGGTTTATACCTGAGCACTATCACACATACAAGATTATTCATATCTGATATGTGTGTGTTTATAACTGTCTCGAATCTGTAATTTTTATAACTATGCAAATTAAAATCTGTATGATTACCTTTATAAAAATCAACTTGTATTCATTTGGTGAACGGAGAACTGAATGACTCTGAGAGATTTCACTGGGTAACTCTATGGCTGTGTAGGATGCCATGAAGTCAGATGCCTCTTTATATTTCCAAAATTAACTTTCTGCATATGTGTGCAGAGGTAAGATGTCCTAGACTCATTTCCTGTCTGCCTCCATGGGAGATACAGCCTGGTTTGCTCTCTTGTCTTCATTGAGGTCAAATAAATGTTTAGATTTCTTAAAATTATGCCCACAACTTTTAATGCATTTAGCTTTTCTTTTGTCTTTATATAAAAAGGAAAAATCTTTTATAGCAGTGGAAAATGTGTAGTTTGTGGTTGTAAGGCAAGGAAGATTTGTGTTAATTGGTGAATATGCTTTAAGTCTGGGTTTCTTTAACATCTCGTTTCTCTCTTGTTTTACTGGCTGGATTTTTATGACTGTGTGACTTGAAACAAAAGTGGTGAATCATGATGGGAAGATATCTGTAGTGCTGTATGCAGAGGTGAAATAAGGCATCATGATCTTCTTATCACACAAGAGAATGCATATATTGCCCTTCTGGAGGCAGCTGGACAGAAAGGGGAGGCATTTCTGTGCCACGTGCTGCTGGCACGAGATCACAGAACCTTTGTGCTGAGGTTCCTGAGGGCATTGAGGAAGAGCTGTGTGCTGAGATGCTGCCATTTTCACAGATTTCACAGAATGACTAAGTTGGAAGAGACCTTAAAGATCATCAAATCCAACCCAGCCCCAACACCTCAACTAAACTATGGCACCCAGTGCTTTTTTTAACACACCCAGGGATGGTGACTCCACCACCCTCCCAGGCAGGCCATTCCAGAACTTTATCACCCTTTCTGTGAAAAGCTTTTTCCTAATTTCCAACCTAGATTTCCCTTGATGCAGCTTGAGATTTTGCCTTGCAGATAACACCCTGAGCATCCTGGCCAAGCACAGCGGTTTCAGCCGGCAGAAGCAGGAGGTGTACCTGCTGCCCATCGTCATCAGCGACAGCGGCACGCCGCCCATGAGCAGCACGGGCACGCTGACCATCCGCGTGTGCGGCTGCAGCAGCGACGGCACCGTGCAATCCTGCAATGCCGAGGCCTACGTGCTGCCCATCGGGCTCAGCATGGGCGCCCTCATCGCCATCCTGGCCTGCATCATCCTGCTGCTCGGTGAGTGCTCGCGGCACGGTCTGTGGTACGGCCCAGCCAACAGCACAGCCTGGCCTGTGGCACAGCCAGTGGTATGGCCCATGGCATGGCCTGGCCTGCGGTACAACCCAGCCCATGGCATGGCATGGGCTGCAGTACAATCCAACCCATGGCATGGCATGGCCTGCAGTATGGCCCAGGTGACGGCACGGCCTGCAGCATGGCCCGCAGCACAGCCTGGCCTGCAGCATGGCCTGCAGTACAGTCCTCAGCATGGCCCGCGGCACAGCCTGGCCTGCAGCATGGCCTGCAGTACAGTCCTCAGCATGGCTGCGGCACAGCCTGGCCTCCGATACAGCCCGGCCCACAGCATGGTCTGGCCCATGGCATGGCCTGCAGTATAACTCAGCCCACAGCATGGCCTGGCCTGTGGCATGGCCTGCAGTATGGCCCAGCCGATGGCACGGCCTGCGGCATGGCCTGCGGCACATCCTGGCCTGCAGCATGGCCTGCAGTACAGCCCTCAGCACGGCCTGGCCTGTGGCACAGCCTGCCATATGGCCTGGCCCGCAGCATGGCCTACGGTACAGCCTGGCCCATGGCACAGCCTGCAGTCTGGCCCATGGTATGGCCTGGCCCGTGGCACGGCCTGCAGTATGGCCCAGCTCACAGCACGGCCTGGCCTGCAGTACAGCCCACGTCACAAATCCCCCAGCTCTGCCAGCTCTGAGGAGGTGTGGGGTTCAGAGAGGAGGAGGGACACTCCAGTCCAACACTACATGCAGCAGCAGTAATTATTGGATTTGCAGGGAATGCCCCGACAAAGGCAGGAATGATGAATCTGACTCCATGTTCTCAGAAGGCTAATTTATTACTTTATTATACTATATTATATTAAAGAATACTATACTATACTAAAGAATACAGAAAGGATACTCACTAAATGCTAAAAAGATAATAATGAAAACTCCTGACTCTTTCCAGAGACAGCTTGGCCCTGATTGGCCAAAAAGTGAAAACAACTCCCAGCAGAATGCAATGGAACAATCACCTGTGGGTAAACAATCTCCAAACACATTCCACATGAGCACAACACAGGAGAAGCAAATGAGATAATAATTGTTTTCCTTTTCTCTGAGGCCTCTCAGCTTTCCAGGAGAAAAATCCTGGGCAAAGGGATTTTTTTCAGAGAATGTGAATACCACAGGCAGTAGGACTCTCATGTCCTAAGAGCTGGACAGAAGCAGAGAGAGCAAAGTCTTGTTCTGAAGTAGTCACACACAAGAGTTACATAATAAACAGGTGTGGAATGGGAAACTGAAAATCACATGGGGGTGTTGAGCAGCAAGGTGAACTCAGTGTGGGCTACACCTGATGGGAAATGGATCTGTGGTATATTCTAAGACTTGTGTGAATCGTGGAATCAGAGAATGTCCTGAGCTGGAAGGGATCCACAGGGATTGACCCAGCTCCTGTCCCTGCAGACACCCCGGCAATCCCCCCTGTGCATCCCTGGCAGCCTTGGGGCTGTGCCCATTCCCTGGGAGCCTGGGCAGTGCCGGCACCTCTGGGGGAAGCAGAACCTTTCCCTGATCTCAGCCTAAACCTACTCTGCCCAGCTCCACCCATTCCTGGGTGCTGTCCATGGCCCAGAGCAGCACAGGGTTCCTACAGCCCCTCAGCTGAAGGGAGCTCTGCCCTCAGCCCCTCTGCTGAAGCTGACCCAGCCCAACGCCCTCAGCCACCCCCTGCAGGCCCTTCCCCAGCCCGGGCTCCCTCCTTTGGATGCCTTCTTATAGCTTTATTTCTTTCCATTATATATATATTTATATTTGTATATTTCTGTTAGGAGTTTATTCTGGATTGTAATGGCACAAGAGACAGTAAAGCTTTACAAGATAAGCACTGTGGTATATTTTAATAAAACATACGACATTTGTATATAACATCAAGCAAGTGAAGGAGAGAACAGTGAAAGGAGAGTTCTATTTCTGCACTTTGCAGCTTCACTTTGTGACTGAGATTTACATCAGTATATCAGTGAATGCTGAGGTTTAAGCATTAAACTGCAAAACCAAGCATAACCCATCTAGAGTTTTTTATGCATCTGTCCACAATTCTGAAATTGAGCTGAGCTCTTTCTATCTCACTTATTTTCTCACGCTCTTTGTAGTTATAGAATAGGAGTTTCTTGCAGAAGGTAGGAAAAACACTGATTTCCTTCTCCCATTAGGGCTATGTTTACAGAAAAACACTCTCTAATATTTGAAAACACCATCCCTTATGTAGCTCTTTATAGACTATGTGAATAATGATAGCCTGACTTCACTTCCAAAGGGAAAAGTCAAGGCTCGAAATTAGAAGTATGGGAAATCTTATTGCTTCTATAAAATTGAGCTTCAGATGTAAATATGAGCTGATAATCAAAGACTAGATGAGTAATCAGAGCTTCTGACCCAATTCCCTTCACATGAAGGGGGTTGAAGTCATAGGTCTTTCAACTTTTCACCCTTATTACTCCCAGTCCCACAAAAAGCAACCTCTCACCTTCCCCAGCTGCACTCACCATGTGGTGTTTGGGTTGGAAATGTTTTGCCTAATCAGCTTGTGGTGCTCTCTTTGCAGTCATTGTGGTGCTGTTTGTGACACTAAGAAGACACAAGAATGAGCCTCTGATCATCAAAGATGATGAAGATGTGAGGGAAAATATCATTCGCTACGATGACGAAGGAGGTGGAGAGGAAGACACAGAAGCCTTTGACATTGCAACTTTGCAAAATCCAGATGGAATTAATGGATTTTTGCCTCGTAAGGATATTAAGCCTGATCTTCAATTTATGCCCAGGCAGGGTCTTGCACCTGTTCCTAATGGTGTTGATGTTGATGAATTTATTAATGTAAGGCTTCATGAAGCTGATAATGATCCCACAGCTCCGCCATATGACTCTATCCAGATTTATGGCTATGAAGGAAAGGGGTCAGCAGCTGGTTCCCTTAGCTCCTTGGAGTCCTCCACATCAGACTCAGACCAGAATTTTGACTACCTCAGTGAATGGGGTCCTCGCTTTAAAAGACTTGGAGAACTTTACTCAGTTGGAGAAAGTGACAAAGAAACTTGACAGTGGATTACAAACTTTTTCCCTGTTGACTTAATGATCATGTAATATTCTAGGGCCACTGCTGTTAGTTAAAACTAATGTGGCTTTTTGTTTTAGAGGCAAGTTTAGCGCCAGTCATCTATAAAATCAACTACATTGTAATGTTGAACCAAAAAAAAAAAAGTATATGTTAGGAGGTTAAGTCTTGTGGAGTGTGAAGTAAAGTATGTGGAGTGTCTAGAAGTCTTTGGATATTTGATATTCACTTGACCACTCTGAAGATGGAGATTTGGATCTTTGATTATCTTCAGTGAATTGAAAAGAACAAAAAAGAAATTGGTGCTCTCTTAGGAAATGGACTTGCAGGGATTTGCTGTTGAACAGTAGCTCCTGCCCAGTATGTGTAAAGCTAAAGGTTTGTTTCTGCATTGCCAACAAAGATCCCGCCACAGAAATGTTCAAAGCAATATCTTGGTCTTCTTAGCAATGCTGAGCAGAAATAGCATTGCCAATTCCTACTGGCTCCTACTGTGCAGTGACCATCCATTGTACATACAGTAATTGTTGGCCACGCCACCACAGACTGAATATCATCTTTAAATATTGTGTCAAGCCTTAAAATATTCACATGTTCTTAATCCATTCCAGTGATGGGTAATAAATACTACTAATGTGTAGAGATTCAGAGGCAGGGCTGCAAAACCTTGCTTCACAAAAGGATCTTTATTTCTAGAAGAAGGATCAACCCTGTGCTTCGTCTTCTGAAAGAAAAAACTGTGAAATGGGATGGACTTACATAAATGAAAGAATTGCTGATTTTATTGCTAAAGATCGAATTTATTTGTTTAATCTTTGAAATAAATATTTTATTGATGTCCATTACTGCTTTTATTTATTAAGACTGATAATCTATAGAGTAAGATTATGAAGAAAACTAAATTATATCAGTTAGAATTTTTTTTTTCTATATATAATGAATGTTTCATACATGTACATTTTGAAAAGAAAAATGACAAATTGTTGCAGGTTAAAGCAGTTCCCTGTCCATTTGCAGTAGCTGAATTTTAAGAGAATGCTGGCAGGAATTAAACATTGCCAGAGAAAACTTTTGACAGTTTTATATCTTCTTCATAAATCTAGTACCTGGTGTTTTTAATACAAGCACAAACAGCTGGAAGTAAACTGGTTCATGTGAATATTTAAACTATAGACTTTTAGAAATCCACACATAACACAGTACAGTAAAAAAAAACATGCTTATAGTTCTCCACTGTATTAGAGCAGGAACCAGTGTGTACATAATTTTACTGCTTCTGTTATTAGCATTTTTTTCTATAATATTCATAGTGATGCACCAGGGCTCTTGCACACAGAGAAAGAACACTAGAAGCTGCAAGCATACTCAATTTGTAATGCAAACTTGCCATTTAGAAGTAGCAATTGTATAAGAAACCTACGTATTACATGCAAATCATTTTAATTTTCTACTTTGTTTTGAAGCTATATTATTGTTTGTTTATTTACTCCATGTATTGTATTCAGAGAAACTCCTGTATTGTTTCCTACTTTGTGAAATATATTTTTATAAATACTTTTCTTGTTATTGCTTTTCTTTCAGGTTTACCTGGGCACTGCAGAAATGAATCTGCTGGAATAACTTCATAGTTTTTTGAGGAATGTAGTTTCTTCAAAATCATTTATTTATTAGTTGAATACAGACAAAATAAAAACTGAAAAAAAGGAGAATATTTGAAACAATTTTTGACAGTGATTGCAGATTTTTGACAGTGATGGGAGCACAGGAGTTATGAGTGTCTGATTCACTGCACCATGCAGAAAAATAACCTCACATGATTTTTGTTTAAGCATTGCTGGTTAAAACAACCCACTGACTTAAAGCTCCTCAAAAACATTTATTCTACAAAGAATTCCTAACACATCACCCCCAATTTTGTCTTTATTTCAGATGGTAACACTGACTTTGCTTTAGCTGCAGCACAGCTTGGTTTAATGACTGTAGTCTGTGAGCAATTAATACATTAATACCCCTTTGATATATATATTATAAAGATTTTATGGAAATTCATTATGTACCCAATACATTTAAGTTACACTGCAATAAAACAAAAACACTTTTGAATAACTGAATCTAAAACTTTTGGTAAAACACTGAACTAAACAGTGAAGGGGTAGGAAAGGACGGTAGGAAAGGAGATATCCTGGAGATTTCAATGAAATCAAATGTATTTCTGTAACTCACCACAAGAAAAACCAAACTCACTCTTACTCATCCCTTGCTCTGGGTGCCAGGCTGCTCTGAACTGCCATGGCAGATCCAACAGCAGCTTAAACAGGAAAGGGCTTGGGAACTGAGCCAGTTTCTGTGTGCATCCCAGTGCTGGGAGCCAGGGAAGGTGCTGTGAACATGGACCATGGCAGTGGCTGGGGCCACCCCAGCGTTCAGGGCAAGGCACTCTGAGAGTGTTTAGCTGAGCTCTTTTGCAGGAAAACTCACAAATGGAAAACCTTCTGATTGCCTTTCTGATTGAAAGTTCCATCTGAGACCAGGACAGTGCATTCAGTAATAAGATTTCCAGGAAAAAAATCCCATCACTGGCCCTGTAGGAGAGGCAAAGCATGACAGAAATCTCATCATTGTCAGTCAGAAAGAACTGGGAGTCACTACTGCTGGGCAGAGCTCAAAATTGGACATTTCTGCAGCTTTTAAACAGGAATAGCTACAATGCAAAGGGGAGGAAAAGAATTAATGAATTTCTGACCTGTCAATGGAGATGTGCTGTTTCTTGTGTCATTGCCTCCCCACAAAGGGAAATGATTAATTCTGCAAACTAATTCTATGTAATCTGAATATAACATTTATACCAATACAACTTAGAGGGTTAAATATCAATCATTCAGTTTTCCAGTAGTACTTCTTTTATGACAATTAACTCAGCATAGAATTATTGTGGATAACAACAGTATTTAGGGGGATTAGATCATACTGTTCTACATTTCACATCTAGATTTAGACATATTAGCGACCCTCCTTTTAAGCACGTAAACGTGTAATTCATCTTTTTCAACAACATTTAATTAGCAGCTGACTCATTGCAAGTGACAATGAAAATGCATTAAATTAGAATTATTAATACTGATAAATTTGAGAAGTAAATATTCAGAATCTTTTACAAGTGCCAAGTGCCTTAGAGCCCCATTGATCCTGGCCTGCCTTCACCTGGCTGTGCCTCACATCGTTTGTCACAGCCACTGAAGTAAATCATGGCACCCATGGGAGCTGGAATTCTGTGCACATTCTAAGGACACAAAATTCAGCTCAGGCTCTTCAACATGAAAGCACTGGGAAGGGAATGTGTGTACATGTTGATTAAATATAACTCGGATGGCTGGAGGTCCTCAGCGTGTCCTGTCCTTTACAGCAGCTGAAAGCAGAGGCTGTTTGTGTGCTCTGACCTTGAAATCAGATCACAGCAAGCTCATCTAAATACATTTTTTACCTGGTATCATTACACCTTTTTGTCTATGATGACTTTGAAATGACTGTGAAACACAGAGGAGAGAAAATGGCTCAAGACTTCCATTTAAATCAGCAGTTGCTGATCACAGGAGAAACATTTAACACTATGGCAACTCCAAATCCCATCAGCTCTGTGGCAGCACAGCAGTGACAATTCTCAGTCTGGAGAACAGACAGGATATCTGCAAAATAGTCTGCTTGGAATAACTCTATTTGTACAGCTCTGCTAGAGATGGAGCTGCTGATTTTAATAGAAAGAGAAAAATAAATCAGCTCTACCTACATCCATGCAGTTACATCTACCTACAAATGTGTGTGGCAATTTTTTTTAACAACCTGCATGGTCATGGGATTCTAGAACTGAAAAATGGATTTAGAAAGCTTCCCCAAGGTCTGTCTAGCAGGAGGAATTTTTGGCAGGTAGCCTTTTCCTGTATCTGGATTTCTTGGGCTATAATTTCAGTCTGATGGAGCTGTTTGGCTGTTTCTCCTCCTCTGCCTGCTCCTCTCTTCACCACATCTATCCTGAGCTGGAATACTGGGAGTCTAATGTTAGGAAGTTCATTAAGACCATGTAGCTCTTTTTCAGCTGGTCAGTGTTCAGGGACTAGAAAATGCAGCTCACCCAGGAGAGTGAGATTCACCAAGTTCCATTCCTCTTCCAGGGAAGACTGAACAGTCTGAGTTACTCATATGAATTTAAATACTCATCCAGTATTTAAATTATGCTGAAAAATCTGAAGCTAATGATGGTGCTGTTTAATTAATAGAAAAATATAAATAATAGAAAAAAAAAAGTTCATTAGTGGCAGACATTCACATGTGCTTCTGATCAAGAGAAGTGGAAAGTTCATCAAAAGTTCATCAGAACTGCAGTGCCAGCACCCAGGGAATGGCTGCCAGTGCCAGAGGGCAGGGCTGGGTGGGATCTTGGCAATGAGGAATTGTTCCCTGGCAGGGTGGGCAGCCCTGGCACAGGGTGCCCAGAGCAGCTGGGGCTGCCCCTGCATCCCTGGCAGTGCCCAAGGCCAGGTTGGACACTGGGGCTGGAGCAGCCTGGGACAGTGGAAGGTGTCCCTGCCATGGCTGGGGTGGCACTGGATAAGCTCTAAGCCCCTTTCCAAACTGGGCCACTCTGTGATTCTATGGAAAAAGGTTGCTCGAAAAACTATTTTTCAGATTTGGAAAGTTTTTAGCAGCAGCAGGATGTTCTAGTAAATTGAAGCTTAGTAAAAATAAAAATGTAAAAAGTAAAAAGTGAGAGCATTCACTGTTGCTAGAGTTTGCTTTCAGACCACAGCACGTGTCATTAGCAGAAAATAGAAAGTACTGATGGAGTGAGCAATGAAAGCTTTCAGATAAGTTGGACTTGTATTATTTCTACATTTGTATACTATTTGTGCAAGATAATACTCTGGCTTTGCAGAAGGTGGAAACCAATTTAACTTGCTGTATAATTCACAGTGATGGGTTTTGTAATCACACTGCAAAATGAGTCTAGCTGCTGTATTATACAATACTGATACTGGCTTATGTGCTGCAGAACCAGACCCTCTCCAAGTAATGTCACAGTATTCAAAATGAGAAAATATAAAAGTCCTGACAATGCTTTTTGTGCAACTGCAACTAAGACATCTTCCAAAATGGCTAATAAAAGCGAGCTGAAGCTCAGCATTGCTGGCAGAGCCTTGCAAATGTGCTCATTAGCATTGCAACACAACTATCTTTTCTTTTTTTGTTCTTCCTCCCCCCCCCACATTGCAAACATTAAACCACTGAAATCAACAATGTGAAAATCTCAGCTTTCTCTTCAGAGGAGATATGGAATAACTTGCAAAATTCCCTTTTGTCTCCTGCCACTGTTTCTGGTGCCAGTTTGAAGGAGGTTTGTGAGACCACAGACAGAGTGAGGGGATGAGTAGGGGTTGTTGCCTGTTTTATTCCACAACTGGAGAAAGCATTTCTAGAATGAGGACAGTAGTACCCTCCCCTGATATTTTTTCTGGACACTCACAAAATACAAATTAAATCTGACAGCTCAAATTTCTGTTCATCAGGAGGCCCCAGGCCAACCATCTTGTGTAGACTCATGGCATGGGGTGTGGTTGGAAAGGACCAAACAAATCATCATTTTCCACCCCCTGCCATGGGCTGGGCACCTTCCACTGTCCCAGGGTGCTCCAAGCCCTGGCCAACCTGGCCTTGGACACAGCCAGGGATGCTCATCCAGTCTAAATACAGACTCATTCCATGGGGCTGAGGAACACTGAGGTTTCTTCCTTTACTCCTGTGGAAATGCTCTGATTTGTGAAGTCCAGAAGAAACAGCCAGAAAGGCAGCTCTGGTAACTGGTGGTGGCAAAATGATGGCTGAATCTGGACTGGGTTCTCATTTTGTATCTTGGGTCTTTGGGTTGGCCAAGCCTAGCCTTGATTTTTTTTTTATTTTACCTTCAAAATATTTAACAGCAAAGAAAGTAATTTCCCTGTCTTTCATAACAGCTTGTGTTTGAATTATAAAACAGGTCTTGTGGTTGGGGGGCCTTTTTGTCATTTCTTCCTTTGTTAGTGTAATGTTCCCTGATGGCAACACTGACACAGTTCATTCTGCCAAATTTCACAAGCTGGCAGTTTTACCAATGAATATGAAAACAAAAGATGTGCATTTTTTAAACTAAAATATTATTTATATGATTGGGAGCAAAATAAAGCCAAGGTGCAAGATAAAGCCAATGGAATCACCTTTAAAATAAACTCCACTTCCACATTTCCTGCCACAGATGGGATTGCTTTTGGACTCATGTTCAGATACTGATATATCAGTTCTGGGAGTTTTATATGTAAGGGAATACTCCTTTAGACATTGCTGAGGAATATTTCCCATATTTTATAAAAGAAGAATATCATGACTTTAACCCAGGAACACAGAAATAAGGTGTTTCACTTAAAATCACACGAACAAGGAGGATTCAGAGCTGAATTCCAAGTGTCTCAGGTATGAGAGAGGGCAGCTGGTTAGAGTTTAGCTCCGGATGATTTGGCAATTGGTGTGAGC